ACATTTGTCGGCCACTTACCCATATCATAAATAACTCCTTTAAGCAGGGAATATTCCCGAATTTTCTTAAAATTGCTAGAGTAACTCCTGTGTATAAAAAAGGCTCAACAGAAGATTTAGACAACTACAGACCAATTTCGATACTTGTGTTCCCCAAGGCTCAATTTTAGGCCCTTTACTGTTTTTGTTGTACATTAACGACATTTGTAATTCTACTGACGTCTTTAGCTTTAAACTATTTGCTGATACATACAAGCTGATGATACAAGCATGTTCCGCTTCTTTAATTCTCGTCAAATTAATTTGACTGACATTCAAAGTGAATTTAATAAAGTTATATTATGGTGTAAGTCAAACAAACTTACCATTAATGCAGATAAAACTAGTTTCTCCATTTTCAAAACAAATAGGAGAGAAGTAAAAATCACAAACAGTTTAAAAATTAATTCTATTTCTTTGAGTCAGGTCGAGTCTTTTAGTTATTTGGGCGTTCTTCTTGATTCTAGTCTCTCCTGGAAATTTCATGTTCAGAAATTAATTAAAACGATAACTCCCATTGTGGGTATTATTTCAAAATTGAGACACTGCGTTCCTAAATCAATCTTAGTAATGATTTATAACTCACTTGTCATATTGCATAGAAATTTGGGGCCATACTTACGAAACAACCCTTAAGCCACTATTTATTCTACAAAAACGATTTGTGAGGCTAATTAATTGGTCGAACTTTTATGATCGTTCCAAACCACTCTTTAAAAACATAGGTATATTAAATATATATGATCTTTGTAAATTACAAACAGGAATGTTAATTTTTGATCTGAAAAATAAAAATCATTTTGACCCAATTCAGCACTCTCACATTACAAGATCTGTAGAAAACGCAATTTTTTTTGTAGAAAGGAAACGTTTAACTCAAAGTCAACACAGTGTAATTTATAGTAGTACCTTATTCTGGAACTCATTGCCAGTGTCATTAAAAAATATCACCTCGCGATACACATTTAAACAAGGTCTTAAACAGTATCTCTGTAATAAATAACCCAGTATTGACTTATTTAACAATTGTCACTCTCTTGACTTTTATGACATATTTTTGATCAGTTTTACGTATTCTTATATACATTACCTTTGAATATTTGTAAGAATATTTCTGATAATTTGACTAGTTTATAATTAGGGTAGGGACACGATGTTTTACTAGCTCTTTTTGAGCTATTTATCATGTTCCACACCATAATGACAAAGCATTATGTATTTAGCAAGTACCCAATTGTATTTACTTTATGGTGAAATAAAATATACAAAAATACAAATACAAATTTATATGAAACAAATATGAAACGTCGCATCTGGGGTCGTTGTGGCGCGTTCGACGCTGTGGCTGAGTGACTTGTTGTGAATAGAATGTGTGGCACGTTCGTGAGAAAGTCATTACAGTCACTTCCACGGATCTCTGACATTTTTATCTGGCGAGTGGTGAAATAACTTGCCTTTGAAAATTTCTCAATTCATTTCAATAATTTTTATATTCGATAAATTGAGTGATTCACACAAATGAAACACAGTTACTAAAATAGAGTAACCGTGGCTGAAGTAGCATTTACTGTGTATTTAGCTTTTTTTCAGTAAAGAATGTATGTACAATGTATATATGCTATTTGATAATATGTCACTTGTTATGGTGCAGGAAATAAAATATTGCACACTTCTAATATAAGTGTTGTTATTTTGTGGGAGAGCGGGTGTGAGTGATCTATGGTAGCTGTGATTGTCATGGTGGATGTCTGTTCGATGTGATAAAATAAATAACACATGGTGATTCGGGCAATGTCACGATTTGTTGCCTGCCCTCGAGTTGTTGATCATGCATCATCTATATTATGGTTAGACCACCATCCCTATGGCAGGCAACAAATCGTGATATTTCCCTCACAAACATGTGTTATTATTTAACTAATCCGTACAATTATTGGGATACCATAACTTTTTTTATTTGCGTTTCGTCATGGTGCCATTTGATCAGCAACATATCAAGAATTGGCAGAGGAATATATTCCAGGTGTCACGTGTAGAGCAGGATGAACTCACCCTATTGAAACACCTGACATCACTTCATTATACTATGGGTTTCATACATAGTTCTATCAATTTACTATATAATTGTAGTGAAAGGATGTTTAGTTTTTTTCTCATGGGCATGTTAATTTCATTTGTGTCTGGTAAATTAGGATACCGTTTAGGTATGGTGTTATTTCTAATAATTCACAACATGTTAATTTCACTCCTTCATTAAATTTATTGTAATTTAGGCTAGTGGTTGTTTTAGATAATTCCACAGCTTAAAAGAATGAAAACGCAATAACAAAATGAACGCAAGGCAATGCGAACACATCGGGAGAGAGAATAACAAAGTGTTGTTACACAGTGTACAGTTAAATGGAGAGGTGACTGTAACA